CATTTTTTTGTAAATTAATATTATATTTGTGGATTTAGCACCAAATCCATGTATCGACACTACAGTCAGTTTTAGTAAAGCCCATTTTGTCAGACGCTTATTTTTGCTTACCTTATGAAAAAAATTAATTATTGCTAAATTGCGAACAATAATTTATAAAAACTGCTTGTACTATCTGATCGAAGACATTTTTTAGTTTATACTTATGTTTTTAAAGTTTTATTTTTACCTTTTGTTTTAGGAAATGTTATCTAAAAACAAAGTGGTATATCGGTATCGGTGACTCTTTCCTCTAATTATTTTAGAAAATATATATAATTATTTTAGAGAATATATAATTGTTTTATATTTAATGAAATAATGGGTACAAAGTTCGATGCTTAAAAAAATTATATTTTCAAAATTAGCGCATAAATCCTGTGTATTTATTTTTCCAAATCGGTTGTTTTTATCGGGAGGGTGGGCTGACTGACTACATACTCGGTCCACCACAAAAAGTTCTTTTTTAGCTAAACGGAATGAGCGCAATAATTGTTCTTTTCGGATATAGGTAGCGCATAAATAGCACATAAATCCTGTGTATTTAATTTTCTAAATCGGTTGTATTTAACGAGTGGGTGAGCTGACTGACTGCATACTCGGTCCACCACAAAAAATTCTTTTTTAGCTAAACGGAATGAGCGCTAAAATTGTTCTTTACGGTTATAAGTAGCGCATAAATAGCGCATTATTCCATAATTTTTTTAATAAGTTTTGATTAAGAAGGTGTAATCGAGGGCCAACTAAACTGACGTCTCTTAACATCTGTCTAGCTGGCCTCTCCATTTAACTTAATTTTAAAATTAATATCTTAATGAAAAAATTATCGTATTATGCTCTATTTATGCTCTATCCATATTCGTAAAAGAAAATTTTTCGCCCATTCCGTATGGTTAGGAAAAAAATTTTTTGCGTGGAATGAACGACCCCAAAAAACCCCTAAAAACAAATTACACCGTAATCGAAAAATCTTTAAAATTTCCATATTGTTTCCATCCGCCATATTGGTTCAGCCATTTTGAATTTCGAAATTTTGATCACTATTTCGGAACGAGCGACCTCTAAAACCTCACGATACTAATTTTCACCGAAATCGAGGAACATTTAAAATTTCGTAAACATTTCCGTCCGCCATATTGATTCAGCCATTTTTAATTTCGAAATTTTTATCACGATTTCGGAACGAGCGGTCCCTAAAATCCCTGAATACGAACCCACGTCGAAATCGGATTACTCCAACACCACTTTAATAGGAGGCTTCAAAAAAACGTGACATGCCAATTTTAATATAGGATTATTAAACATTCAGCGAAAGTAAATTTACAATTAAAGTTAAATGTATAGAAATCTTTACATCTTAATTCGCCAACGAATTTCATAAAATTTTTCTTAAGTTATTTTATTGATATGTATACGAAAATATAAATATTTTGGTATATTATCATTATGTTATATAATATTACAAAAATTTGTACGTTTACATAGAAATTATAAAATATACTATTATTATTGTGTAATTTTCTGTCAAACATACACTGAAAAAAAGATTGGTTGCTGCAACAATTTAGATATAGATAGTAAAATATGGCATTATTATATGGTTGCTGCAGTCATAAAAATGCTATGCCATATTTTTATGGCTGTAGCAACCATATAATAATGCTATGTCATGTTTTACTATCCAAATTGTTGCAGCAACCAATCTTTTCTTTCAGTGGCGCCTTTTGAAATTGTTTTGCACAGCTGTGTTTTAACTGTACGCGTTGTCATTTAGACTGTACGGATTATCGTAGAGAAAATTGTTAATTAATGATACAATTATCCTATATGACAATTCTGGTTTGTGTATTTTAGGCAAACCATATATTTTTAGAAGAATCGAATCGCTAAAATATAAAGAAAAATACGTAATAGATATAAAATCGCTTAGGAACCATTTTTTTATAATACTATTCGATTTTCGCTCAATTGTTTTAATAGGATTATTAACCACCATAATATAAGTAGTGTCAACTTGCAAAATTTCTTCTATTTTATTCATATATTCATTTTTGTTTAAAGCAACTGTAACATTGCCTTTGTCAGCCTTAGTAAATAATATATTACGATTTGATTTAAGAAATTTCATAGTTTCATTATGCAATATGCATATCTAATTAATTCTTTTAAAAACAGTTTGTACTTTTTTTATTAAATAAGAAAAAATAAATTCGAGGGTTAGCAACGTTTCTAATTCTTGTCATATCCTCATTAATAAAATGTCTGCTATAACTCTCAATATTTTTTACAAATTCATGAACCATTTTTCCTTTATTCATGTTAAGAGGAACTCCAAAGTTTCCTCCCAACTGCAAGAGTGACGACACATTAGATGGAATATCAGTATTCGTAATGTTAATATACCTTATTGGTACGGTCCTAAGAATTAATATTTATATGTTATTAATATCTTCAGGAATTATGCAAACTGAATGTAAATTTTCTATTCAATTCCCATTGCTTTCATCAGAAGAATAACTTACATCATTAATTCTATTTAAATTGCAGTAATATTTAATAGGTTATTTAATAGGTTATAATATTTCATTTTTCGAGTTCATCCAACATCTAAATATTTGGTATTAATTAAAAATTTTTGTGATTTATATATATATATATATATATATATATATATATATATAAAATTTGGTTGATGAAGACTTAGTATAGTCGAAACGTTCATTTTTCCATGTTATCTATACGACATCCAATATTAATTTGTGATGTAAAGTGAAATATATTATATATATCTTTTAAGTTAGATCTTTCTTTTGTTCGTTTTTTGACCTATCTACACATTTTTTTAATTTTTGTGTTCTAAATAACTGCTTTATTTGTTTTACTTAAAATACATAATTCAAATAAAATTATTTTAAATATGACCGACTACTGACAAATACGACTTATTTAAAATAAAAGATATAAAATAAATTCCGAAAATTTATTTAAAATGTAATTAGGAAATAGGTCAGAAGGGATTATTTGAATTAATAAATTCTAGATAATTCTTTTATCTTTTTTTTATTAAAAATGTGTACTTTAAATAACTTTATTTCTTAAATACAAGCTTCGTATCGAATCAACATTTTTATTGGGGTAACGGATGTATGATAATTTTATTGGTATGTTATGTATATACTTGAATACATGTGTGCATGGATTTAATAACAATATATGGACAAATATATGTATATAGCATTGCATACATCCGTTTCCTTAAAATAAACAAGTTAAAACTGATCAGGATAATTTTTCATGTAATTTTACATACTTTTCTACAGCGTATGAATCGAATTGATGTGTCTCTTGAAATTGTTTTGCACATTTCTGATTTACCAAAAACGCTAGAATCATCATATGATAAACTAACGTTGATTGTTCTGCCATATTTCAGGAATTCCCATCCTATATTTGAATATCTATATTTGTGTAATTTTTAAATTTCAACAATGTAATTAAAATTAAATATATCAAAGGTTTATTTTAACAAATAAATTTCTTACATTAGGTGTTAATCATTAGTGTTCTGAATCGTGAAAGCACTGCTTTTTTGACACGATGCAGAGTTCTTATTGGATATTGCTCGTTGCTTTTCTCTCATCGCGTCCAATGTATAATAGACAATAAGATCGGTATTCATAGTCGGTTCTTATTTTAAGACTATCTTAAATAATGTCCTAAGTTGCTAGTACAGCTTTCTGATTGGTTCGTGACATCTTCAGACTCTGTACTTAAAGCAGTCTTAAATTCAGTATAAATTCTGACATGAATACAGGCAGAAAGAAATCTGAATCTCTATTAATTTGATAGATGTTAATTATTTTAGCGATTTATTTTCATTAGGAGCACTGCAAAAAAATAGATATTGTTGTATAGTTGACTTCCACTTCTTCAGAGGGCAGTAGTGAATGGGGGCATTTTGCTGTTACCGGAAAAAGGCTCTCATGTCCTCTCTCAAGTTTCTCTCTGATTATACTCTTACAGTCTCTACTGATTGGTCAATTCGCTTATTGCTTATATTTTACATGATTTTATTGCTTAAGCTTTTTTGCCATGATGGCCCTTAAAATTAGAAAGAAATGAAAAATAAATTGAACCGTGATTAAAATGAGAGTACTTCGAGATCCTGTCTACGCTTTTCAAGATCCCTGAAAAATCGCTAAAATATATTCGGATGAAAAACTAGATTATTCGAATATGCGAATTCCCTCGGGAGATCTCACATATCCTAGGCATTGAGACAAGAAATGAAAGAGCGAGTCCTCTTTGAATCGGAGGCTCTGATAGTCCGGAATCAGACTATATATTGAAGATTGAAGATTGAAATTTGACTTATTATGAGGCCAAAGAAATTTTAGTTCCTATTGTTTTGATTAATTAAATTTAAATCTTTTGATCTTTAATCTCTCAATCTTCAATAGAAAGTCGTAGTCTGATACTGGCCATATACTACTCCGATATCATTGATGTGGAGAATAGACAACCAATGACATTTCACCGCCTTCGAACGAGGCATGCGCACGAGCAAGAATGTCGAAATAAGAATGATAATTCATATTTTTGCCAATGACAATCGATAAAAATTCATTTTTTAATCGATCAAAATGGAAATTTGACAGCATCAGTTAATTTCACACTGTCAGCGTGCTATGACAATAATTGTGAAATGAGGGAGCTCGTGATAAATCTCAGCATTCGATTCGACAAATCACTCTACGCAACTACGTACGTACTACGTAGTGCACTCTAGAAAGCGAAGGATAGAAAGAGAGGGAGAGAGAGAAGGTATCATGCAGTAATTCGACGCATTCAGTTGCGTTTGGTCATCGTGTGGACGTGTAGAGTTGTTGTATTCTTCAATGAATTGACAAGAACAGAATAAAAATAAATATGCGCTGGTTAATTCTGTGTATCTTTGCGGTTATGCTAATGCACAGCATAGATGGGAATGGCGACGAGGCGCCGTTAACCAAACTCGGCGCAAAAACCGGGCCGACTCTGAGGTTCTTTTATTGGTAAGATTAACGATCGTTTTGTTGATTTTCATTGAGGCTATCGGAGGTGTCCGTCCTATAAGATAATAGATGTTCGTAAGCTGTTAAATTGTACACATGCTTTAAATGAGAGACACTTGTTAGGCTTCTCACATTATTCTAAAGACATTATTGAATATTGTAGTGTTGATTTTATCATGGAGCGCTTTGGGCTCTGGCTTATCATTAAATCAAGATAAAATTATCGTTCCCTGTTGCAGCTACTCGTGCGGCTATAGAAAAGCCTTCGAACAGTACGTAAATATTCTTAAGCAGAAGTATCCAGAACTTCATATCGAAGGCGAGAATTTCAATCCACCTGGTTATAATATGTTAATTGCGAAAGCACTGGTAATTGAATTTATTGTCTGATCTTTCAATGATCTGTACTTCTGTACACGTCTCATAAATATTTAAATTTGTATTTAGGGCACATTAAAAATACTTATAATTGTTCTAATTGTAAGTGGAACTGATTTTGGTTTGCCCCGAATATCGATATGGCAGTGGTGTTTAAAGAATCGTTTTTATTCCTGTGTATTGATTTTCCTGCTTGGCAATGCTATAGAAGGCATATTGGTCTCATCGGGTGCATTTGAGATACATTTCAATGGTAAATATATTTATCTCTCTATTAATACAAGTATCAAGTGAGATACTTGATCGTTACATGTATCACGATATATTTCAGATGTTCCTGTTTGGTCAAAACTTGAAACTGGCAGGATACCACAACCACTGGAATTATTTCAAATAATTGACTTTCACCTAGATATGCAATTTTCAGAAATGGAAATGGATGTAGGAAAAATCAAGTTCCAAACATAAAACATAATGTTATTTCATATTCTCAAATTGATAAATCTAAACTGTACCATACCAGAAAGAATGCTAATGGTGTAATGTGATGAAAATATGTACAATATGTATTTGTTAAGTAAATAAGGTCTTTAATGTATATCTTATCATAGAACATAATTCCATTAAGACTACAAACATATATAAGTGTAATAGAAATAAAGCTGTTACCAAAATTTCTTATTATTACAGGATTTTTATTCAAAATCATGGAATCACACTGAATATCCATAGTAAAATATAGTACACAATTTTACAGTCATATCCTCAATGTCCGTTTTCTGTGCTTAAAAAACCAGAATCTTACAAACAGGTTTTAGTCCAAATATCATTTAACTATTCTACCGACTTCATTAAAGCCTGTTGGATGGTCACTGATAAGAGGACGTGCTTCATATGTACAAATAGTTACACCATGTTTGTGAGTTGGAGTCCATTCCCCTTTGAGACCGATGTAATAAATTTTAATTTGTTCTGTGTTTCCTATACCACTGAAGTAAAGGCTTAAATGCTGCACTGATGAAAACTTGACCGTTCTGTAATAATATTTATATGGTACTTAATTTTTATAAGAATTTTTAACATCTCACATAAATAATTTGTATATAATCACAGTTGTGTGCTATACAAATTCTTAAATCTAAAAATATAAGTATAAAACAGATAGCTGAATTATTACCTTACAGGATATTCATGTACTCCATATGCATCTGTAATTAATTCAAATTCCTGTTCTGGGCTACTATCTAAATGATCAAATAGCATGTGCGGCCGGTTTTTATATCTGTTAATATACGTAAGTTTATTGAAACATTTTATGTCTTAATATCGTTATATAATTTTCCTTATTTTTGAGTAATTTTAATTATACTCACAACTTCACTGTTTTGGGAGAATAATCTTCATCTGCAACTACAATAAGGCCTTTTAATTTTACATCTCCTGTGAAACTGCAAAAAATCAAATACAATGAGAGACTGAGAAACATTTCTATAAAAACTACATCAGAATATAATACTCACGGTATATTAAACAGAAGCTCATCATCGACGTCACTTTGAACAAACTGAAATAAGATAAGGAAAAGATTACATAAAAGAATCTTAATATAAAATGTTAAGATATATTTGATATTTGTAAAACAAACATTTCTCAAGGGGACTTACCTCTGATCTATCTAATCTTTCTTCCCAGGTTTTGAAAACTCTAGCACCACTGCCTTCCTCATGCTCATTTAGACATTCCACTCTGTCTTTATCTATTTTTTCAAACAAATTATAACTAATTCCTATTTCTGTATCGTGTACACTACCACAATTACATCGATGTTCCATTATCTTACTCTGTTAACAATAAAACATTTAAAGACATGAATATATACATAAACAGAAAAAAATCATTCAAAAGAAAAAATCCGTGAAGGTTAAAATAAATTATATATTTACATAATTTTACATAATATAATTTACATAATTTAATCAATCATAATATTATCATAAAATATAGTATACTATGTCGTTACAAAATTATTATGAATATAAATTACACGAATGAGAACATATCTTTTATTTATTATTTTTCAATATCGCAATCTACAAATAATTTGCTCCTATTTTCCAATGTTTAAAATATTATTTTGCTATCTTTGAAGAGAATGATTATCTACATTTTAGACGTTTATCATATTCTTTAAAGTTCTTTAAGAACGTCTCATGTTGCCAACTAAGGTTAAGTTCACACAACAACATAATCTTAATAATTATCATAATAATTACAATAAAACAATATTTTACTTACGTACAGATAATAAAGTTTCCTTTGTCAGTTGATAGTCGAATGAAGACAAGGAGAAATGTGAAACTAAACCGTTCTAAGGAACTATTTACATTAAAGCTCCCTCTCCTTCAACAGCTGCCTACTTAACCGGTCGGTAAATAACGTTTTTGTCGTAGAATTGTAAATGTAGAAATCAATGTATATTTATATTTCAAACCATTCCGCGTATAATACAAGTCTCTCCTATTATTTTCCCATTCAATTAATGTTTATTTGCATAATGTTTTTAATCAGATTTATAGAACTCTTGAAGATTTTTCAAAAAATTATTCTTTAAAAGAGTGTACATATATAAGAGGGAGAGAGAGAGAGAGAGAGAGAGAGAGAGAGAGAGGGGGAAGATATACATAAAACTATACTAGATTCATAGAAGATAATTGCGTTTTTTAAATTCAATGTCTGTAAATGTTAAACTTACAAAATCCACCGTTGAATCTAAGCAGATTTCTCTTAAAAAAAATAATATAAGGTTTACTTAAAGAGTGGAAATTGTAGGATAATGTGAGGTAGAAGTAAAGTTCTAATATATTTAAAAACAAGTGATATTCATTTATAAACTCTATAGCGTATGTACATTTGTTTACTTCGCATATAGTGAATGAAATATAGATAGAGTGCAACATAAATAAAACAATCTTTGTATGAACTGTGTGTGGAATGGTTGCATTGTCATCTCTTATGTGTGTTTATCAACAGCCTCATCGATTATTTTATTTAATTTCTGATTTTGCCAATCAAGAGCGATGTTATCAAGATGGTTGTCAAAATCGATCAGATTCCTATACTCCTCTGTCTTCAGTAACGAATACATTGCATCTGTGTGTGCAATATCGTCCTCATAAATTATACTGTAACAAAAAGAATGATATTTGATACCCAGATGAAAGAATTCTATCAAATCGATCTTTCAAAAGTCATAATTTTTCCAAATAATCTTCAAAATATATAATTACTTTGCCTTATCCTTTGGCTTCCATTTTCCCTCTACAGATTGTGAAATTCTCAATGGACTCGAGCCCATACCTAAAGTCACTTCTCGATTATCCACCTGACAACAAAACAAACACCAATAAAATTTACAGAAACACGTTTTGATATAATAAACTAGCAAACGTACCACCACCAACAATGCACTGTTGAAGTTCTCTGCAATTTTATCCGCTATTCTATGGGCTGGTCTGTCTGAACTATATAAAGAACACAGCGATGAATTAGAATAATTTAACACAAAGAAAAAGAAATTATTAAAGAAATATCACATAACTATCATACCTTAAATCATTTATATTTTCGTTGGCCAGGTAATAACCTGCCAGTATAAGGCCTTTGCTTGCAGCTAACTGGTCCACCTATTGCAACATTAGGTTGATATAATAGGGCGCCATGATATTATTATATCCCTATTATGCTAACATTTTGTAATAAAAAAAACATGGAGTGCTTGATGACCAGTGATGACCTACTATAACGTTTTGTCATTGTATAGGTTAGGATATTGATATCCACGTCACACACTAATTTTCGCACGTGTTGAAATATATACTTAAAGAGATGCGACAGTACATACGATTTTACGAAATGTTTCACTGCGGTAGCGAATGCCTGTCAAATATTTACCAAAGTAAGTGCTATTTCCGCCATTGGGGAAACGTGTAGGCATATATGGAATAAAGGTATCGCATCCTCGATGTATAGATCCGTCCTGCCGTCCTTGTTTTTTTGTTTGCCGAGCAGCAGGCCATTTATTGCACAATGCGGATATTTAGCTGCGTGTAAAATAATTTTGCAATACGCGCGGGGCGAAAAGAAAACATTCGTCATCGTCAAGGGTGCACTGTAAACGCAAGCAGACGCGAGGAGACCAGAATGAATCAGTATTGCCAATACATAGCAATTGCCAGGGCGGTGAACGTCAAGTCTTTTCTCCCTATATAGTTCATTGACGGAAAAAAAAGAATTGATGTACAATTTATCTTTTTTCATAAACAGTTCTCGAAAACTCAAGTATCTCAAAACGAAAAGAATAAAATTAAATCCATTGTATTTAATATATATATTAAAGAAATTTATTATTATGATATAAATATATATATTTCAGATATAATTTAAAATTTATAATATTAAACATGTTTGCAATTATAAGTAAAAATAAATTTATTAATAGAAAGAATCCTATTTTCGCAAATATATTTAATATCAAATGAATTTATTGTCATAAATATTGACACGTTCTGTCCAATTTATTTATCATAATATAAATACTATAATATTAATTCTTGGAAATACATTTCAGATATTGTTAATAATTTAATGTTAAATAAATTATTGCAAAGTTATTTAAAAAGTGCGTCGTCACTGTTAAATTCGGAAATTCTATTTATGATAAATTTGTATCGCAATCTTTTCGCTTCTTCTCGAGAGATAAATTCAATTTCGTGCTCCGAAATTGCGGGTAAGTGAACAGCTTGCGAAAAAAGCGTTAACATCGCGCCAATCGACGTCGCTCGATGTAATGCGATTATATCCTCCACTCCGGTATAAGCGGTTCTGAAAAAGATTACGAGAGACACGTCACGTCGGCATCATCCTCGCGATCGTTTCCCGTGATCGCCGGTCATCGCCGCGTGGCGCAGCAACGGCTCATTGTGATTTTTATAATAAGCCTTATGCAAATTACAAATGAAATTGTCAGAGGCAGGCCCGCGGTCCATTCTTCGTCGCTGATAGGGACAATTAGAGGAGCTTTGTCCAGCGACCGAGCGTTGTCCGGCCGGCCGGCAACTTGAGTTTATGAGAGAGAGAGAGAGAGAGAGAGAGAGAGAGAGAGAGAGAGAGAGACAAAGAGAGAGGAGAAGACCACCCGCCAACCCCTGATGCTTGTATCCGCTCCCCGGAACGTTCACTTCCGACTCTTGGAATCGCGCGCCGCCGCGCCACGCCGTGTGCCCCATTGTGTATGTTCCCGCGATATACTCACGAGTCATCGATACATTAACTGAATTAAAACATATCGCTGCGCAGTTATTAACACACTCATTATTATCGTTCTTAATAATACTAAAAAAAAATGCAATTATTTCCTTAGGGCGGGAGCAGAGTCTTGTATAACGCATAAGAAAATTAATTAATCAAAATCATTTCTTTCCTTTCCATAAAATAAAAGACTCTGATTGGTTGATTTTCTTGTACATTATGCGTTATTAAAGGTCTGTGCTTGGGCTTTTAATACGCACGATAATTTTCCGGTCTTTCACTACACCGATGAGTCATTCCGGATTAATTTTCATCATTTTGACAAATATACAAGAATTATA